TAAAAAAATATAATAAACTTTACAAATATATATATATATCGATTTAGATATATTTTATATCGGCGAAAAGGGAAGCATATAACGGTTGATTATATATTATTCTTTTTATTTAGCACAGGGCGTTGTCTGGCCCAAAAAAAGTGTTTCGTTTATTTCTTTTTCTTTTTCCTTTTTTTATTTAACAAATTCTCTCTCTGTGAATGTGTGTGCAAAAAACAACTATGTTTACACACACATATACCAACGACAGGGGGTAAAATTAACAAAAATAAAAAAAAAAAAAACTACAAAAAATTAGAACACACACACTTTAAAAGAAAGAGAGAGAGCGAGGGAGAGCGAAAGAGAGAGAGGGAGACAAGCGAGAGAGCGAGTAAAATGTTATAAAAAAAAGTCGCGACGCAATTTTTAATACTTTATTTGATTTGATTTTCTTTTTTCTTTTGCCTTTTGTGGGGATTTTTCTTAATTTTTTCTTTTTTTCCGTTGATTAGCTTGACAGCACAAACACACACACGCACGCACTGACAGATATATATATATACATATTTGCTGTTATATATATATATATATATTTTATAGCTGTATTTTTATCTATTTTGCGTTGCACAAAAATACCTCCGTTCGTTTCGCTTTTACGTGGATTTTCTTATATATATATATATATGAACAACACATATATATATATATATATACGTTTGTATATAAATAAATTCGCAAAACGCTGTCAATTTCTTTTATTTTCTTTTCTTTTTATTATTATTATTTTTTTTTTGTTTCGTTGACATGCTCTGCGCGCAGCACACACCCGAGTTTTTAGTTTGCGTTTGCAGCCATTTCGACAACGACAACGACAACGCCGAAACGCAACGCAATGACGGCAGCGAACACAGACGCCAGCAGAGTGGCTGCGAACGAACGGCAACGTTGACCGAGGCAACTTCGAACCAACAAAATGTTAAGACACAACCCGTCACGAAACGAAACACAATGAAAAAAAAAAATTGGAAATAGTGTATGGGTAAATGTGGTTTAATACCTGCCCCGTCTGCCTTTATCAAGTCCTCCAAATATATATGTATTTAATTGCAAAATATTGATCCGAATTATATTTAATAACTGGCGTAATATTTGACGAATTTGATTTAAGCCGCACTGAAAGCTAGAGCGAGAGCGAGCGTCTGTTGTTTTGTTTGCTCGTCCTCCGGCTTTGCTTTGCCTTTCAATGTTCGTTCGCTCGCTAGGTTCGGTTCGGTTCGGTTCGGTTCGCCCGTTAGTCGGTTCGACGTCGCCCATCGAACATTATTGGCGTCGAACTCTAAGCCGTTGCGCACAGTGGCGTCCAAATTGGATTGGTCAAGTGCAAACAAAATTATGAAATTTATTTTTCATTTTAAGATGGATTTTTCATCGAATTTTAGGAAAACAAAATAACTATTGCGGATTTATTAATTCTCAAGAAATTGATAGAATTTATATTCAATTAATTTAATGTTTATTTAATGAACATATTTGCAATGCAAATATTTATTATATTCCAATTTAAAATATTATGAATTGTATTTTAAAAAATAACCGATTTGATTTAATTTAGGTATAAAATTAGAATTATTAAATATTTAAAAAATGGTGTACATAAAACCCATTTTTATTTACATATCTAATACTTTTAATTTTATTCCTTATTTAAATAAAATCAGATTTTTATTATTATTATGTTTTAAATATAATTAAAAATAATAATAAATGGAATAAAAAATATATTGCATTGAAAATAGTGTCTTTAAATTAATATTAAATGAATTAAATGTAATAATTTATATATTTTCCTTTCCCTAGACTAAAAACTGTATAAATAAATAATAACCTACCTATATATTATATAAATATAATGTGTGTACATTAAATTTATGAAATATAATATTTTATATATATTATATATTATAAAATTTGAAAAGTAACATAATATTAGTTGGAATATTAGGAAAAATGTTTTAATTATACTAAACTTCATATTACTTCTTTAATTTGTCATTAATCAATTTAAGAGTCTTTATTAAAAACAATAATTTTATTAAATAATAAACAGAAGCTGCATAAACCTTGAATTAAGAAAAAAAAAGTCTATAAAACTATATATTGCTCAATATTTTTATTATTATTATTTATTTATAATTGTTATATTTATTATTATTTCTCAATGTTCTCATTTACTTGTAATTTTGTTAATAATTTTAAATCACCCAAAAAATCTATTTGTAAATGATGTAACTATATTTTTAATTACATTTATAGCTTTAAATATTTTAATTTAATTTTTAAAAGGTTTTTTTTATTATAAACTCGTATTTACTTAGAATTTTCAACTAATATTTAAACAATTTTTTCCTTCTATCTGCCTTTAGTTTCTACTTAATTAAATGTTTATAATAGTTTTTGATACCCTTTTTTTGTACAAAAGATACTTCATTTCTTAAGTTCAGATTACGGGCGCCTTTTGAGGAATTGTTTAGTTTAAGATTTCCGGCGAAGCTTTAGATTCCAATTTTGTGAAAACTAAGCAAAAGATCAAGTTGAATTTTCTTCGTTCTTTGCAATTTTTTGCAACCCTCCTTTTTTTATTATTTATATTTTTTGATTAGCTAATTCCCCCCACTTTTTCTTGTTTTGTTTTTCCTTAGCTTTATCATATTTTTTGCAGTTTTTCCTTATTTTTTTTTTTCGCTGCTTGCCAATTTGCAGTGAAAGTGAAAATCGCTGAGAGAGCGAGCGCGCAGGCGGTGCAAAAAGGGAGGGGGAAAGGGGGATTGCAGTGTGGGTTTACTGCAAAAGGGGGGAGAAGGGGTGGAGGGGGTGGAGGGGGTGAGAGAGGTGGGTAGTGGTGGGTGGGTGGCTTTGCGGGCAGAGGGCAACGGCCAGCGTCGGCCTAGGCCAGGCCTAAAATCGACCAACAAAAAACAAAAAATAAAAAAGAAAAATTAAATCGCACACGTGCAATTTGTTACCTGAGAATATCCCTCAAAAATACCTTTAAAAGCTGCCGCTATTTTTGTCAAGTGTATTGATTTGCCATCTCGTTTTGTCATTGTACGGTTAATAGTTAAGGGAAATTATAAATTAAAGCAAAAGTCTCATATAAATTCCAAATATAAAATTAGAAAATATCTAAATCTGTGAGAAGTCAGTTTTTGAATTATAAAAAAAAGTAACTGCATTTATAATGTAATTTTGAATGAATTAAAAATATATATATATATTTTAATAAATAATTTTTTATTGTTTTTATTATTTCAAATTTTTTTTGTAGTACTTTCTCTAAATTAACAAAGTTGGCTTGTTAATTTTTGTATTATTAATTTTTAATATTTATTAAATTTATTATCAAATTGATCAATTTTAGGTCAGAAATAATGATTTAATTTTGAATAAATTAAAAAACATTCTTATATACGTATTGTTTATTCTTGTAATAAAGAATTATTCATTATATTTATTAATTAAATATATTTTGCAATACTTTCTGTAAATTAAAGTCAATAAAGTTATTTATTTATGTTTTAATTTTGTTTTTAAATTTAAATATATATATTATTTATTCTTTTAAAGAATATTTTTTTATTATTTTTATTTATTTAATATTTTCTGGTAATGCTTTATCTAAATTAAGTCATCTATTTATGTTTTAATATCGATTTTTTAAATTAAATATATATATATTATTTATTCTTTTAAAGAATATTTTTTTATTATTTTTATTTATTAAATATTTTCTGGTAATGCTTTATATAAATTAAGTCATCTATTTATCTTTTAATTTCGTTTTAAAATTTAAATATATATAATAGGTATTTTTTAAAGAATGTTTTGTTGCTATTTTTATTAGTTAAATATTTTCTGGTGATGCTTTATTTAAATTAAAGGTAACAAAGCTACCAATTAAATTTTACGATTTATTATTATTATTATTATTATTTTATTATTATTATTATTTTATTATTATTATTATTTTATTATTATTATTTTATTTTATTATTTTATTATTATTATTATTATTATTTTATTATTATTATTATTTTATTATTATTATTATTTTATTATTATTATTATTTTATATTATTATTTTTTTTATTATTATTATTATATTTATTATTCTTTATTATTTAAATTATTATTAATTATTATTAAAAATTGAATTTTCCTTGCAGTGCATTTTGCGCTAATGTTTCGTGTCTATTAATATTGTCCGTTGTCCGTTGCCATTGTCGTTGTTGTTGTTGTTGTTGTTGTTGTTGTTGGTGCTGATTTGCCTTGTTTGTTATTATTAGGTCTGCCATCGCTTCCTCCTCCCCCTCCTCCTCCTCCACACCTTCTTCTTTCGCTCTCTTCCCCACTCTCACACTCTCGCCATTTCTCTATTTGCTCTCCCATTTCGCTTTTCCCATTTTCTACGCCCCTCTTTTTGCTAGGCTGTTGTTGTTATTGTTGTTTGCAACCGGCCGGCGGAAGACTTGCAACATTTTTGTTGTTGTTGTTGGTGGTTTTTTTTCTAAGCGCCCTCTCCGTTTGGCCACGTTGCCAGTTTTCAGTGCAAAAAAAAAAAAAAGAAAACAAGAAAAATAAACGGCGGCACACACACACAGCAACACACATCCATACGTAAAAGTGGCAACGGCGCAACATGTTCGAAACAAACTGAAGTTCGGCAACGCTGCAGTGGCAGCAGCGACATTTTATAACAAACATAAATAAATATAAAAAAAAAACCACGCAAAAAAAAAAAGGGAAGGCGGCAACAAGAGCGAAATGAAACGGAAAACGGATGAGATGACGGAGATGACGATGGCCAAGAGGGAGAAGGGAGAGAAAGGACTCTCTCGCACGCTGCATTTGCAACAGACGGCGTCATACCGCATCATACCACATCATACCACATCATACCGCATCATACCGCTTTTTAGGTGCAGTCGCAAAGCAAAGTTGTAGGCTCTCAAGCGGCCTCATTCAACGTCAGGCAATCGAAACAAAAATGTCGCGAGCTAGCGGTACACCCATTAATTTATACGATGAACGCGAGGTATTTAATTATATTATTTTCTATTATTATTATTTCATTGAATAATAAATATTAGAACGAGTTTCTTGAATTTCATTAATCAATATATAATAATATATCTTATATAGATTAAGATCAAAGTTTTCTAAAATATATTTCAATATATTTATTAATTCTGTCAATCAATGATTAATGTTTTACATTGCATAAATCAATATATCTTCTATAAATCAATATTTACTTTTGGTAAAATATATTAATTAATTCCATCAACCAATGGTAAATATTTTGCTTTGCATAAATCAATTAATTATAGTTTTAGTCATATTCTTTTTACTATTTTACATTAATTCCTTTATTTATTATTTCAATCAAGGTGATGGAGGAATTTATCAGCTGTTATCGCCATTTTACCGCCTTGTGGGACAGCAGCAGCGAGGATTATTTATCGAAGCAGAAAAAGGAGCCCGGTTATCGGGAACTTTTAAATATCCTGCAAAGGATCAATGGCGATGCCACCGTGAATGATGTAAAGCGAAAGATAAACTCATTACGTTGCTGCTATCGACGTCAAATCAAAAAGGTACAGGCCTCACAAAATGGCTATAAGCCACGTCTTTGGTGGTATCACCTTATGGACTTCCTCAATCCCGTTCTTAACATACAATCACCGTTGCGAATGAAATCGGACAGTTTGGATGATAGTCTCGATGAGACCAGCATTAATGTGAGTAAAGCTTTCCTTAAAAATGATTCTATTTTAGTTATATCGATTTTTTTCTATATTAAAATAATAATAATAAATAAATAAGTTGGAATTTCTTTAGTATTTTCTACTTTGATTATAATTTAAATGATTTTAAAAGGTTTTACTATTCTCCTGCTTTTCTTATACATTTTATAATAATAAATACGGTATAAATAGGGGTTTTCGCTTTGTATTGCCTCTCTGTTTACGATACCGTTACTTTCGCTCTTGTCCATTCGTGTCGTGGTTTGACAGCGAACCCGTTCGTCGTACGACAAATTTTGCCTGCTCGATTCTGGTCTCACTGGTCGTACGACAGTCGTCGGTCGTTCGTTTCACAGATATAACATTCAGATTCCGGTCAGGTCAGTCGCTTGTTTCTTGTCGCTATGTCGCAGCAGAATAATGAAACATCCATCGCATTATGGCGGGAATTCTTCAAACTGTACCGCTCCATGCCGGAACTTTGGCTAATGCGAAGCAAATCCTATCGCAATCGTCGTCTAAAGGACGAATCCTATGGCCGACTTTTGACACTAATGCGTCAGATCGATCCTAATGCCAATTGTCATTCGCTAAAGCGTAAGATTAACAATTTTCGTACATCATATCGCCGGGAATTGCGTAAGGTCCTACGGAGTGAATATACCTATGTACCAGGTCTATGGTATTTCAAGGATCTGGATTTTCTATGTGAAATGGAAACTGGTGTTTTGCAATATGATGGGAGTATGGAGAAGGAACCAGAAATGGATATGGAAATGGAACCAGAACCGGAACCATTAGCACAACAAAATCAAGAGTACCAACAAGAAGTATTTCCCAAAGTCGAGACATTGGAAGGAATTACCGAAAATATGGGTGTTAATGAAATTAATGATGTATCAACATCATCATCATTTGACCAGGAGAACCATCATCATCATCATCAAGTTGTCGTTCATAATATTCATCATATCGGTAGTGGCAACGAAGTGAGTGTGGAATCAGAGAAAATATTAAATGATTGTGAAGAATTTGAAAAGAATTCAAAAGAATTCTTCACATTTCTTAATTTTATATATATTTTCTTATGTAATTTTCTATTTTAAGTTGACTTTCATGACTTAAAAATCATGATATCCCTCATTAAAATATATTACTTTTGTTTATATTCTTTCAGGACGACGATATATTTGCAGAAACCTTTAACAAGGAGGAGGATGTCCTTGGTGGCATGGAACCCGGAAGTGAAGGTGAGGCGGAACCTGAACCATATCTCGATACCGAGGCCGATGCAGATCCTGATCTTGCAACCGAACCAATAATATCTGGACGCCATAGGACAGATGCCAAGGGAATTACTAATGATTTCCATGACTCGACCAGCAATCGATCCCGTTCTGGGTCAAGGGAAGGACATGACCTGGATAAATCTTCACGATCCAATATGCGACGTGTTCGTACCCGTCGTCGGAGTAGCAATAATGCCAGCGATTATGAGGAAAGCAGCAGGAAGCCGCAGGGAAAACGACAACGGATCAAGGAGGATCCTTCACCGGACAGAAATCGGGATCGAGTTATCGATAGGGATAGCGATAGCGAATGTGAGTTAATCGGTAAGCGGATGGCCGCCCATTTCCGGAATATGCGAACGGATCAACGTCTATTTGCCGAACGGATAATCAGCGAAGTTCTTGTCTTTGGTCGAATGAATCGTCTATCTTTTGACTCGCAATTTATTCCAAATCGTAAAGAGGATTAACTTAAGTATACAGACTATAAAAAAGGAAACAATTAAAAACAAAATTTGAATTATATAAGCTTTCTTTCGAAACCAAAAAAAAAAAAAGAAAGAAACGGTAAAACAAGGACATCCCTTTACTAAAAAAGGAGAAAAAATAAATAGTGTAAAAAAAAGAGAATTTAAATCTATAAGATTCTTTGTTAATTCAATAAACGTCAGCAGAGAACTGAAGAATTTAAGCAAGTCTTTCGCCTAATAAAATAATAATTAATACTTAAGAAACTATGTATGTACAAATTTAGTAAAAGCAAATAATAAAAATACAAGAATAAAATAAACATTCTCCGCCTTAAAGAAAGTCTTTTGAAAAATCGATATATTTTTTTTTTAATTTTTATATGACAATTTTTTCAATAAATCAAAATTTTAAAAACTCATATCTCAGCCAAAAAAGCATTAAACTTTATTCGGAAAGCTTTCCCATGTTAGTTTTTATTAGGTTTATAAATCTGCATACTCAATTTAAAGTTTTGAAAATTATAAATTTTTACCAACATTTTTGACAATTTTAACGACGTTACCCCTTAAAAAATTATGAAAAAATTTCAAAATCTTATTTTTCTACCAAAGACGTCTAGAAAGATTCGCCTTTTTATGCTGATCAAGAATATATATGATTTATAGGGTCGGAAATGACTCTTTCACTTAGTTTTAGACTTCTGACTAAAATTATAATACCATATATTAATCGGTATTAACTATAATTTTATATGACAATTTTATCGACAAATCAAAGTTGAAAAAACTCATAACTTAGTCAAAAAAGCCTTAATTTCAAATCGGAAAGCTGTTCTGTTTTAGTTTTTAATAGGTTAATAAATCTGCATACTTAAATTACATTTTTAAGCTATTTAAATTTTTGTCGATTTTTCAAGATGTTAACAATGAAAAAACGCCTCAAAAATGTTGGAAACAATTTTTCAAAATTTTTTTTCTTTTTTAGATGCCTAGAAAGATTCTCCTATTGATGCTGATCAAGAATATATATGATTTATAGGGTCGCAAATGACTCCTTCATTTAGTTTCAAGCTTCTGACTAAAATTGTAATACCCTGTAATGGTATAAAAGCTGAAGGGAAGACTTGCAGATTTGGTAAAGGTGACAAGCGAAAACGAAATGATTAGGAAAAATACACTTAATAATGTTTATTTAATTCCACATTAATTAAACAAATAAAATTATATATATTTTTAGTACAAAAATATATCATATTTTTATAACTTTTACAATTGATTATTGAATTCATTTCAGTGACATTTTGGTCGCCTGCAAAAATTCGCAGCAAAAAAATGCAAAAATGACAAAATGCAAAGCATGAGGCGCAAGGCTATGGGGAGGGGGAGGATGGACAACGGGGAGTGAAAGAGGGGCAAAGGCAGGGACGAAGAGAGTGAGAGGGAGAGGTGAAACAGAAAAAGAACTGTATACGGGCAAACCGGTTTTTATTCATTTTAAATTTGTGTGAGCCGTTCTCCTCCATTCCCCGCAGCTCCTCTTTACCACCCTTCCCTTTCTCTTATTCGTCTTCTTCTTCATTTGCTTCTTGTTCTGCTGCTTCTTTTCTTTACATTTTCTGCTGCTGCTGCTGCTGCTGCTGCTGCGCTGCTCCGACTGCGATTCTTTTATTCTTTTATTTTTTATTTTTTTTTTGCGCTCGCTCGTTCGCCTTCCCTCTCTTTCTGTCTCCTTCTCCCCACCCCGCCCCACCCCAACATCACATCTCTTTTGGCTCACGTTTCCATGCCATGCCAAGAGAAATTCACAGCTTGTTCTTGTTGTTATTGCCGTTTCCTTTTGCTTTAGTAACTTTAATTTGTTGGCATTGCCATTGCCGTTATACAGCTTCCATCTCGCTCTGGCCCACTCGCTCGCTCTCTCTCTCTCTCTCACACTCACACTTCTTGCCCTTTTACATTGCTCTATTACCGCTGGTTTGGTTAGGTCGGGTTCTACTTTTTTTTTATTATTTTATCTGTTTTTGTTGTCTTCTTTTGGCTTCTCTGTTTCTTTTTGGTTTGGGGTGGGGTGGTGTGGGGGGTGGTGGAGAAAGGGGTCTATGGCAGCCCAGTCGGTGTATGTATTTGCAAGTATGTGTGTAAATACACATACATACATATTATAATTTATATGCAATGCATGACTGTATGAGTAATTATTTATGCATTCACGTAACTTGATCAAAATTTTAACTACTATTTGCATTTGGTCACACCTTTGATTGTTGCTGTTGCCTCTTAACTTAACCCTTAAATAGTGTCAGGGGGTCGAAAACCAATAAACAATATTTATATCTTTAATTTTTATAGAAAAAGAGTATTAAAATTGCTTAATAGTTTAACAATTCAGGTTCTTGGTAGATTCTTAAGAAGATTTTCAATTTAAATTCTTTATGGTTCTGTTATTTCTCTTCCTATTGCCTTTCTTTGTGCTTTTTTGTATTCTTTTTCTGTAGCATTTTGGTTTTACGGTTTTTATTCTGTTTTGACAAAATAATAAAAAAAAAATAAAATAAGAATACAAAAATAAAAGCTGCACGACGTCAGGTCATTAATAACATTGTTGCCCCCTGTCCTTCCTGTTTTGTTTTTCGCCTTGCTCTGAATTTTTATTGCCACCTCCTCTTTCTCCACTACATCCTCCTCCTCCAATCCTTGGCAGCCCCCTTTTACCACAACAAAACATCTCTACTCTCGCCCTATTCCCTTTCCACTTTGCTTTTGGTTTGGTCAGTGACGTAGGTGGGATTCTTTTGGGAGGGATTAATTTTGGGTAGTTGTAGTCCTTTTTATACCTTTTCAGGGTATTATAATTTTAGTCAGAGGCTTAAAACTAAGTGAAGGAGTCATTTCCGACCCTATAAATCATATATATTCGTGATCAGCATAAAAAGGCGAATCTTTCTACACCTCTTCGGGAGAAATAAATCTTTTTTAAATTTTTTCAATTTTTTTAAGGGGTTACATCGTTAAATTTGTCAAAAAAAGTTTGGCAAAATTAAAATTTTTTAAAATTTTAAATTGAGTATGCAGTTTTATAAACCTAATAAAAACTAAAATAGGAAAGCTTTCCGAATTAAATTTAATGCAGTTTTGATTTAGTTATAAGTTTTTTAAGATCTATTTTGCCGGAAAAATTGTCAATATAAAAATATAGATAAAAACCGATTAAAAAGTGGTATTATGCCTTCAGTCAGAAGCTTAAAACTAAGTGAAGGAGTCATTTGAGAATATTTTAAGTTTAATTATGATCAAATTTCGATTTGATCCTATTATTTAATTGCAAACTGCAAGGGTATATAAAATTCGCCTTCCTAAAGTTCATTTCCTTTCTCGTTTTAATGCTTATAGAAACCCATATTTCTTTGAAAATTTGGCAAGAGAGGGGTTTAATAACCCCCAAAAACACTACACCACTGTGGATTAGGTTAATTTTTGTTTTTCTTCAGGTTTCTTCACCGCTTTATTTTTGGGTCTTTTAGCTTTTAACAGTTGTTGTTGTTGTTGTAGCCGGCATTTAAGCCGTCTCAAAAAAAAAGGGGGGAAAGAACTCTTTTCTTTAAATTTTCTTCTTTCAATTTATTGATGTTCCCTTCATGTTTCTCTTTAATTTAAAAACCTAAATTAATTTTTTGTACAAGTTCGTGTAAAACTTGCAATGTCCACTGTACTTTGTATGCCTGTATTTTTTTGCCATTTGCCTTTTACTCTTGGCATCTTTACTTTGCTTTTCACATGTCTGCCTTTGGCCCCTTCTCATCTGATGCTTTGCCCTCTCCCTTCTTCTCTATTTTGCGTCCCTTTTTATCCTTGCGGCAAACAGTTTTTGGTTCGTAGTTCACCGCAATAATCCATCCCCATCTCAGTGAGTGTGTGTGTGTGTGTGTGTGTGTGTGTGTGTGTGTGTGTTTGTGGCACAAAATGAAATGGCAAAACAAGGTCAAGTGTAGGGAGCAAAGTTTGTTTGAGTGCACGCACACCTACACACACACGTACGCACACTCACAAAATTCAAACTATACATATAATAAATAAATGAAATATCTACAAAAATAACTTGTAATATATTTTGATCCCCTACTTTAGTTAATTTTTTATATGCAACTTTCTGTTAATTGCTTTAAAGTTTAAACAATAGAATGCGTACGAAAGCAAGCCGTTTTTTTTTTTTACTTCTTGTCGCCTGAGTCACGTTCAACAGGCGCTGTTGTGGACAGCGACGCCGGCTGAGGCAGAGACAGCGGCAGCTCCAGAATTTTGAGGTTAACTTTTTGACGTCAAAATAATTGCACAAAGGTGCGAGAAGTGTGTGTGTGTGTGTTTTCCCCTTTATTTTTATTGTAAAATTCTCTTTTTTTATATATATTTTAGAGCTGAACTTGACGGATGCCGCTGCCGGCTTCGCTGCCTCTGTCGCTGCCAGCGTCAACTGCACAACGACACCTGTGGCTATGCGAAAAAGTCGACGATAAATACAAAATACAGAGGGGGGAAGCGACAAAAAAAAAAAAAAAAAAAACGCGATGGAAGAAAAAGAAAATACAAAAAAAAAAACCCTCGTCTGAGATTTGCGCTGTCAATTTTTCGCAGGCCTATGCAGTAATTCGCGCTCTCTTTTGATAGCTCTCTCTTTGACCCTCTCTCTCTCTCTCGCTCTCTCTGGCTCTGCAGAAAAAGGTGTGACGTACAAACCAAAACACGGAGGCAAAAAGTAAAAAGCTAAACGCAGAAGGAACAAAAAAAAAATAAAGTAAAAAGAAACAGCAGCTGAAAGTGTAACTAAAATACACACACCGAAAATTATATACACACCAACACATACATATACACGTTCGCAATCGTTGCGAAAAAAGAAAGAAAAAAACAACGAAAAGGAAACCTAAATAAAAAATTAAATGGAAATTTCTGATATAAAACACACGCAAGCACTCTTACACACACACACATACACTAGCAAAGCCAAGTGAAATTTGGCAACAGAGCAACGCCGGCAGACACAAAAACAAACAATGCGCCAGTAAAGAACGTCGCACGCGCGAGTGAGACGGTCCGATGGCGGGTGGGTGGTTCAGTGAGTGAGTGAGTGAGTGAGTGAGTGAGTGGAAGAGCCAGTGCGTCAGCAGAGAGCGAGCTGCGTTGTTTTTGCGCAGCGCCGCACGGCAACAGCGGCCGCTGCTCCACCGCGTAAGAGAAAGAGATAGTATGACGGGGAGAGACGAAGAGTGAGTGGGCAGTGAAACACAAGCAGCCCCATGCGAAATTTGCTGCGAGCAAAAAAGGAAACTCAAACCCAGCTGGCAACTTTAAACCAAACTAAACAAACTACTTAATTCTATTTGAAGAATTTTTTTTTGCTTATTGTGTGTGTTATTGCAGACAAAATAAAAATTGTATATATAAAATAATAATTAATTTAAGTATTATTAACAAAGTCCAATTTCCCACATGGCAACTGCTTACTTTGCTATCTACAAGTAATAGCTGAATAGCAAAATTCGCATTGGGTCGTTTGCTCTGCCTCTCGCCCTCGCTCTCTGCTACCCCACCCACCTAACGACCTCTCGCTCTTCCTCTTCGCGTTGGTATGAAATAAATAAAAAAAAAAAACACACACACACAATTTTTTTCGCAACAATTTGACACACAAAGCAGCTGTCTGCATAAGCACCGCACATACATACGTACATATATCATACATACATTCATTACATACAAGCGGACAGACATACATACGCTTATATATCTCACGCTGTGTTGCCATAGATACAAACAGACACACGTAATTTATATATACGCGAGTGAGAGAGATAGAGAGAGAGAGGGCAAACCAGAGCGGGGGAGCAGAAGAGAGCCAGCAAGAGCAGGACCGATAGAGTAGGAGAGGGTGATAGCAAGGCGTGGTGGGGCTATTTGTTATCTACTGCGCATTGTCTTGATGTTGTTTGCGTAGTTGTCTGTGCAGTGTGTGTGTGTGTGTGTGTGTGTGAGTGTGTTTGTGAAGATGAAGCAGAAGTGGAAGAGCAAGAAGAAGCACGCAAGCAGCATACCGAATAACTAGCGCAGACGTAAAAGGAGAGAGCGGGAGCGGTAGAGGAGAGCACACAAATCAACATGACACGACCAACGTCAACAACAACAACAACTGGCAACAGAACAAACCGGCACATTCAACTTTTACACACACATACACATTCGTTTCGCAGCAGAAGGAGCGGGGCAAAGAGAGACAGACGACAACTGAGACGCGAGACTAATGCGTGCGAAAGAAAGGGCGAGATGCAAACGAACGGAACGAAGCGAACGTTCGAAATAAATAAAGCAAAATGCGCACACAGAAAAAAAAATTAGCATAATCAAAACAATATTATGAATATACAAAGTAAATAACCTAAACTGGTATATTAATAAAAACAAATATCAGGGAACTTAAGATCTTAAAATTAAGTGTATTTAATATTTATTATTATTTATTTATAAACCTTATAATTAAGCTGTGCTTAATGGGTCACGCATTTAATCTCAGTGCAGCTACGCCGGCAAGGGACTGAACAGAAAAATAACAAAAACTCTCGGCAACAACTACAACTACAGCGACAGCGACAAGAATGAGAAGAGAAGAGGAAGGCGAAAATAAAATGGAAGCACACGCTGAGCGGACTGCAGAATTTCTGCCTTAACCCGCGGCTGGACATGCAAAAAAGAGAAAAAAAATATTCAACGACTGGAAGTGAATTCCCGGGGGCTCTTTGTGGGGTTAACAACGAGTTGTGGGGGCGGAAAACGGGTCAATCAATGCGACAACTTTAACGGGTGGTGAGAGGGGGGGGGGGGGGCGGTTGTGTCGTGAAGGGTTAACGTCTCATAATCCGCTTAAGATTCAGCGAATATATATCGGCGTGGCTCACCACGTGCCACCGCCTACCCCCTCCCCAATATCATTAATACTTGGTTAGCTTACCTGTCGTACCTGCGTCCAGGTATTCGGGTTCCAGCTGTGAATCTGAATACATATAATCCATGCGAGTATTTGCTGTTCCCAGGAGAAATCCTCTCATCCTCCCTTTTTCATAATTCGCTTTCATAAGCACGTCATAAACATGTGCGACTTTGTTCCTGCCTTCTTTTTTTGCTCTTCTTCGCCGCCATCTTTTTTCTTCTTATTAGAATTGAAAACGTGGTGTAAACGTTTCAAAGATAAATGCATACATACATACGCATGTATGTATGTGTATAATTCAACTAGTTAAATCTCTGTAAACTCAATTTATTCTTTTTATGCACTTAAAAAAAAAAAACAAAAAACAATAGGAAATTCACATGAATTTGTGTGGAATTCACTATGCACTGTAAGCTGTGACAATCTGTGACTTGCACAATGTCCGAAATAAATTATGTTTGCACTCGCGGCGGTGCCAGGTTCCGTAGATAAGGTGGGAACGCCATGATTCCCCCGGCGATCATTCGCCCTCGGGTACACACGCATTCCCCGCCCCCCTCCACCGATCCGGCCAACGTAACAAACACATGTCTGGACGTGTCGAATGTTGTTGTTAATTCACTGGGTGCTGCTGCTGATGATGTGTGTGTTTTTATTTAGATTTTTATTATCGCGCGCGCTCTTTATTTTATTTTATTTTTTTATATATTTATTTTCTTTTATTTTCGTGTTTTGAGCTTATCGCTTGACGTACCGGTTGTCCGCCCCCGACCGCTCGTTTTGCAACCGACAATTAAAGTGATGTGATCTTTGCTCGTCGCGCGGCAAATTCACAGTTAAGCCGTAACTACAATTGAGAGAGCGGGAGATTAAAGTAAGAAGAGCACAATGAGAGCAATGTGGAAGGGGGGGACAAAGAGAGCGAGGGAGAGGGAAATGCAGAGCAATAAACCTAACCTGAATGTAAAACAACACGCTCTTCTGGCGGGTGACATTGCAAGAGGCAGAGAGTAAGCAAAGAAAGAGTGTCATGGCGGGGGGGAGGGGCGAAAGAGAGCGCCGGGAAGAAGCCGAATAAGCGCAAAGTAGCGCAACTTGCGGTGACAACAACAGGCCAGTAACAATAACATCAGACAACTACAGAGCGACAATTGACAGTGGGACAGCAACAAGAATATACAGTGTTTTAAAAGTAAAAACAATTAATATATTACTTTTAAAGCTTTTTGCTATTTTTTTGTGGCATTAAAAAGAAAATTAAAATATTTTATTTATTTTTTAATTGAAAGTAACTCTTAAACAGGGCCCACTGTGGCATAGGCTTGCCGGTTTTGCGCGCGTAATCGATGCTGCCCTTACCCCTTCATATTTATACCCATACATACATACATACATGCATGCATGCATACATATGTATATGTAAATATGTTTGTATGAACCGCTTTACGATCTTGTATTACGTGTTGGCGTTTTGCATGCATTGTTGTTGTTTTTCTTTAGCCTGGCTTTATTTGTGCGCAGATCGGTTTGCTTCTTTTACCGACTGGAATAATCAAGTCACAGTTTCCAGTTTCCCCCTCACTCCGCCACCCTGAAACACGCTCCCGGGTCTACCCCTTTCGGTCAGTGGCTCGGCACCCAGCAACAACCAGTTATATATAGATGTATGTACATACATATGTTTGTACGTGTATACATACATACATACACAAACCGGTTTCCTTTTACTGTCTTGCATATTTTTAGCAACAAGTTGAAAGAGTTGCCTCCTCGCCAAATGAACCGAGTACGGTGAAGCCTTTGTAAAAGGGTTATTTATTTCAATTGAATACAAAATAATATTTAAACTTATATTGGTTATGTTTTGTGAAACAATTTAAAAGAGAATATTAAATTACTTAATCTCATTTATTAAATGAAGTTTCTCATTTATAACACTTTCCGTTATAGGGAATTTCGATTGTACCGTAGCAGCCAGCGAGCAAGCGAGCGAGATGGCATACTCTAATGGCTGCTGCTGGATGTGTGTGTGTGTGTGTATGTGTGTGAAGGAGAGAGAGAGGCAGGCAGTAAAATGATAATGAAAACGTGTAGAAAGATTGACGGCGATCGGCATTCGCTTGTAACAAAACAGATAATTTTATTTTTATTTTGTTATGCGCCAAAACAACAGCAAAAAGTAAGAAAAACGTGGTAAAAAGAAACCGAATCAGTAAACAGAAAACAAAAACAACAAATAACAAATGAAATAAAGAAACCCCTTGCGGCTTTTGTGGGAGGGCGATAAGGGGTGGGATGGGGAATGGTGGGGAATACAATATGTTTAGATGGAAAGGGGGAGGGGAGGTAGCGGTAATAAAAGCAACCGCAAACATAGCGCTGCGTCATTGACGCCGGCGACGACGACGGCGACGCCGACGATGCCGCAAAACAATTGCCGGCCATTGTTGTCGTTGTTCTTGTATTTCTTGTAGTTGCAATTGTTGTTTTTGCAGTGGCTGTGGTTGTTGCCGTTGATTCCAGCGTCAATATTGTTGTTTCACTCATTTTAACCCCTCCCCCTTACAAGAAAATGGAAAGGGCATAGACGAATTGTCGTTAAGCTTGTCGAAGATCTATAATAATACAGGAAATATAGAAAATTAGTTATATTACTTAAGAAAATGATTTGATTAATAAAATAATTTTTATTAAAATTAATTTCAATGTCAGTTTTTAGGTTTTTTTTTTTATTATTTATGGAAAGAGTATTCCTATTACTGCTTTGTATATACATATATTTTTTTTCTCTCTTATACAGTTTCCTTCGTTTTCTTAACATTATGTTACATTTGCTTTGCCATTCATATTCCTTTTTGTTTATTGTTGTTTCAAACAGGGGAGCGCCAGAGAGCCCCCAGGGGGGAAGGGGAGCGGAGATGCCCAACACAATGGCCACATTTTGACCCTGACTTTTAATGTGTACATTCGCCATCTCCGTCTCGCTCTTATGCTAAGTTATTGTTATTATTATTATTATGAATTGTGTGTGTAGTGTGTGTGTGTGTGTTTGTTCGTGTTTGCTGTGTCTGCTAAACACTAAAAGTATGATTAATTGACCCGAGGCTGACCACCGTACAAATGGTACATATATATGTATTTAAATATATATACATATATATATATATAGGTACATATATGTATTTCCCTGGTACTGTTACTGTTTTTTTTTTGTTGCCTTTTCCTTGTACGGCTTATTTGCCTTGGCAACCCGAAGATCTTTCCAATCAGAAGAGTTATTTATATGTAGAGTCTATATAAACAGTTGGGGTCAATAATATATACATATATTTATATAATAATATAATATAATATAATAATATAATATAATATAATATAATATATAATATATATATAATATAATATAATAATATAATAATATATATTAATATATATTATATATATTAATAATAATATATTTAATAATAGAATTCTAAATTAATAAATTACTAGAATTTAATTTACCCAATTTATTTTTATTTTGAAAATATGTGACAAAAATATTATAATAAACTTTTGGATTTTATTTAAATGATTATTTTGATTTATTTAAATAAAGTATTAGTTGTATTTTGATTTCTTTGTATTCCTAAAATATTTATTTTGTTTTTAACAATTTAAAAATATTTAAACAATATATTTTTGGAACCACTAATGCGAGCACACCTGTAATGACGCATGTATTTTGTAAGCAGCTCTCTTTTTTAACACCATGGAAAAATCACACTAATTGAGGTAAGCTCTTCGCTGACATTATTATTATATATATATTTTTTTTTAATCTGTAAAGCAGATAACTAAGTATTTACTACAATTAATTGCCAGCAATTGTTATTCAGCCCGAGAGTATGCAGCGAAAAAGAAGAAAATATAAAACGTATACGTTTGGAATAAGAGATACCTTTTATACCCTTTCCCGAGTATTTTAATTTCAGTCAGAAGCTTAAAACTAAGTGAAGACGTCATTTCTGACCCTATAAATCATACATATATATTCTTGATCAGCATTAACAGGCGAATCGATCTAGCTATGTTTGGCAGAAAAATAAATTTGCAAAATTTTTTTCATAATTTTATGTCAATTTTTACATCAATTCAAAATTTCCAAAATTGATAAAAATTAAAATTTTGTAAAATTTTACATTGAGTATGCAGATTTATAAACCTACTAAAAACTAACATATAACAGCTTTCCGATTTAAATTTAAGGCTTTTTTGGCTTAGTTATGAGATTTTAAATATTTAATTTTACGAAAATATTGTCATATAAATATATGGATTATTTCAGATTCGATCCTTTAATTTAATTGCAAACTTTAAGGATATATTAACTAAGGCTTCCCAAAGTTAGTTTCCTTACTTTGTTTTTTTTTTTTAAATTGGAGAAGTGACTTTCTAGATTGAGTTAATATACTGTTCTTAAAAGTCTTAAAACATTTTTGTTTTATTATGGATGTTATTTATATTTCGAGTTACCCCACACTGGGTACAACTTCAAGTCATGCTTTCTTAAAACTACCAAAAATATAAAAAAAGCAAAAAAAAAGAGGAGAGAGAAGAATAATAAACAACAAGGGAAGAATGCAGATATGGCCAAGAGCAATTCTTCAAGAACAGCTCTTCTAAAGCAATTCTCCATGCTGGATATCGATCTCCTTAGGCATTACGAACACCGCGCAGCTCCTTGTCGGCCTTCTTCAGGGTAATAAAGTTATTAAGCGCCTTAACGCGTAGCTTGGACCAGACCATAAAGTTGCCCAGTCCCAAAATCGTGGCCGCATGCAAGGCAGCCGCCTCTGGATAGAGGACCGTGGCACAGCCCAGACCCGATGGCAGATTCAAGCTGGACCAAACATCCACCTGCATGTTGTCCGACTTGACGGGTGGACAGTTGATAACCGGATAATTGGTGCTGCCCGAGATGACGGGACCCAGGCCATTGGAACGTCCCGCGACGGCGACAAAGACTAGATTGTTCATAACCGATTCATATTCGCGAACAATGCGCAACGTCTCCTCGGGACCCTTGTGGGCGGAGGTCACACGTAGCTCCACATTCAGGCCCAATGAGCGACAACTGGTGGCCACCTTTTCGCTATGCGAAGTATCCGAAGCGCTGCCCATGAGCACCACCACCAGGTGATCCTTCTTGGGCACAATATCGGCCAACTGTTCGGCCACCCAAATGAAGTTCCTCTTGACCGTATCCAAATCGGTGGCCGTTACCGAGGTTAGATTGCGATAGACCTGCTTATCGACCATCAGACGCTTGTCACCAGCCGGCCAAAGGCGCCACGAATCGGAGTCTATAATATCGGCCAGAACAATATTGCCATCGGCATCCACACCGAACTCCACCTTCATGTCAATAAGTGCACAATTCTTTGTCCGCCAAGCCCTCTCCAGGACTTCAAAGACCAACAGGGTCGTTCTACGCATAATGTCAACCTCATCTTGACCTGGAAAATATGGGTACGTTTATTTATAGTATATATTTTATATATTATTGTATAATATTACCTATAAGAAGGCCATTTAATTCGAATTTTGCCGAAACGATTTGCTCTTCGCTCCATTGCGGATCATGGTTGGCATCGTCCTTGAAGAAAGTCTCCTGTTTGGGGGAGAGAATCTATGAAAGAAGGGAAAAAAGGGAAAATGTGAGTATATATAGGGGATACATTTATAAGATACATAAAATCCTAAACCTAACTAGCAAGTTCTTACAAGAAACGTTAAAAAATAGTTATAGTTCGAATTAAGAAGCGATCTCCTACTAAAAAAACACGAGTTCTCCTTTTCTATGCAATAGTCCAGTATTTGTTATTAAAAATTATAATCGCAGATCCAAAAATTGGTCATTATATTAATAAAAGCTAGAGTTATCTTCTTAAAAGAGTTAGAATTAAAACAAAGTCAAGGTATAAGGATAAAATCCTCCTAGATCTATGCTTACAAAAATCTTTATAATTAAATAAATACAGATTACTATATCTAGATCAACGATTCTCTGAGATCTATGCTTAAAAGACTGCTTTCTATATATAAATCAATTTAAATCATAAAACAATGACATCAATTAACATTGCTATGACGAAAATCCGGTCTCATATTACAGATCAATGATTTCCAATGACTTTAGCAATGTTATTCCGTGGGTTTTTTTTTTTGGGATCAAGAATCTAATGCCTTATCGGGGGGTAGGGAAAAGCGTTGACCTCGTAGGCAGTGCATCGATTGCAGTTAAATTTGTTTACCGCAACACGGGCTAAATCACACTCGAGATAAGAGAGATCGCATATGGAACGGATTGGTTGATAACCTTCGGTGTTTTATAGTATAAATATATATGTATATATATTATACCAACCTGTAGCCCTCGGGAACACCAACATTACGCTTGAGGAACGAACCGGTGGCCAGGCGACGGGTCACCCATTCAATGGGTATCATTTCACATTTGCGAGCGATAAAGGCCTTGGCGCCGCACTGCTTAACATAGGCGGTGCGAATACCTGGTAAATGGAAATTATTATAAATAATATATAGAGGTTTTTTTTTTTAATGTAATTAAACTTCTTTAATGGGACACTCACCTGCCTCGTTGAGCAGGCGAAACACCTGACCGTTGGTGGTATTGGAAATCTCCGCCTTGCCCTGCAAATCATGGGCCTTGACACCATCGCCGGCAGTGATGCGATCCTTGCTCAGGAGCAGGCATAGTCCTGGCTTTTCGGGCAGATCGTACACCTGCTTGGTCTTGCCCTCGATAAGGATCTTGCCCAGCTTGTAGCCCTCAACTGTAATTAATTGTTGTTAAATTTTAATGCTGAAAAATAACACACTGTTTTCGCGTTCTTTCCAGAATCTGGAACCATGGAAAATACCTCTCCTGGAAATATTTCTCTCCTGGAAATATTCCTCTCTTGGAATATTCCTCTCTTGGAATATTCCTCTTCTTGGAATCTTTTTTGGGCATACTTACTGGACGTATTTGTTGTGGCCGTGGCTGCGGTTGACATCTTGTTGTTATTTGCTCGAGTTTGGAAACGAAATTAAAACCAATTTGCGGCTCCGGCTTCACGTGTTGCGCGTCTCGCTTTGTGCTCGATATTCGCTTGAGTGCTTTTTCTCCGCTCTCTCGTGATGGCCTCTCCTACGTGCTCCTCTCTTTGGCTGCTGGCAACTCCACTGCTCGCGTATCGCTTCGGGTTTTCCGGTTATGTGCGTTGCGAAGAATCGCTTAAAAGCAACTGAGCGGCTGCGGAATGGGCGGCGCGACTTTATGGCTCGCTTTTTTCTTATCGCAGCCAACCTACACAAGCATAAGACGCACACGCAACACGTTCAGGTTGCAAGCCAGATCGTATGTGGGGCTGCGCATGTGTGTGGGCCTGGAACTGCCGGCTGTGGCGATTGCAGCATATACCCTACTGATAAAGAAGGTTATTTTAATGAAAATTATTATTTATATTCCTTTGCTTAAATAAATAAAATAAATATAAATTAAAAATACATAGTAATTAATGGCAAAAACCTTTACTAAATTATGTTTTTTCGATCTATTTATGATAAATAAAATTAAATAAAATTACTTTTAAAGCGTATTCAATAAATGCTTTGAGACTTGAGCATTTTTTCCCAGACAGTAGGTCATATGAGGCGGCGACCTGTCCGATCGTGTTCTGTTTCCGTCAAGTTCAACTTCAGCTTCAGCCTGGCTTAGCGATAGTGGGGGGCGCGTCATCAATCAAATCAAATGTAAACAAAAATATTTTTGTTTTTGCCTTTTTTTGCCATACTTGGGGTCTTTAAATAAATATAGAACGGAAAATCTTGACACACGTTTTCCGCAGGTCAAAGGGCTCGATTTACTTTACATTGCATTTGTTGCCAAGTGCAGCAATCGCATCTAAATCATCTGGCAGACTGTCAGAAAGCCTGCCAAGATTATGAGAATTATTTAATATTGTTTTTTTTTTTGTAAGAAGGATATAGACTGTGACAAAACTTTAGTTATGTTACAAAAAATAGGAGATAAACTGAAACAAATTCTTTAACTTCACTTGAAGCCGTAAAGGAATGTTGGAAAATAACTAAACATTAAAATTTGGTATCATCTGAGAATATATAAACAATTTAAAAGATGTTAAAAGATTTTATTACAAAAACAATTTAAATTTGAATTTACAATTTGGCGTACTTTTCTTATACAAAGCTCTAACCCAAGATACAAACCAAATAGTCTGGACACTCTTTAATACACTATCGATACTTGATTATCCCTGACAAGTCTGGTTTATCGATGGGGTAACGTGTCTGCAATCACTGATTTTCCATTTAATCTTTCATTTTTATATATTTGCCTTACATTTTTTAGGTATATATAAAAGAAAATAATTTTAATAACTTAAAATAATAATAATATCTCCTAACGATACATCGATATTTATCCATTTAGAGATGGCCGCTTACTAGCAGAGACATCAACCGACCCTTACCACTTTCGACACTGCTCGCTTATTTTAGATATTTACTGCATAGATCATTTGGCCATATTAATTGGTCATTAGCCATGGCACAAAGTTACGAATAATCTTCATAATTTATTACCAGTTGCTGTTGCATTTTATGTCAGTCTTGGGACAGTTGTTGCTATCGATAGTAGAAGAGGCAAGCAATCGACTTCTTGGCAGCACTAAAACGAAAGTCGCGCGAACGCCGGTAACGGAACTCTTCCAACGGAACGCAGCGCAGCGCGTCGCGTCAACGTCGGCGTTTCCGTTTATCCGTTTTGGCCGCAGAGCAGCAGCACAAACAAGCAAACCAGACGCAAGAACCGAAACGAAAGTGAAAAAGACGTAAGAACGTAATCCCTTCTATTAAAACAAAAAAAGAAAACATAAACTATAAAATAAAAGGAAAACTACAAACAAATTGGTGGACAGTAAGAGGCGGATAAAGAAAGAGAGACCAACCGAGCGAGGAGAGCAAAGCTGAGATTCTGTGTTGTGTTCTTATTGTTGTTGTTGTTGTTGTGCGCGCACAAAATTCCTCTGCCGGCGTCGCTGTCGCAATTGTATTGTATTAAAAGTGCTTGCTTTTTTTTATTATAAATTTAATTGTAAAGATTTTGCAGTAGCATTTACGGGCATTTCATTTAATTCCATTCGATTTATTTACATTAATTTATGGCGACAGTGTGCAATGTATTAGTGTGTGTGTTTTTTTTTTGTGGTGCAATTTAGTTTCCTTGTGTTTGTGGCTGCAAGTCCTGCTCTCTTATGCTCTCTCGCTCGCTGGCCCGCTCTCCCTGTGCAACCCCCTTTTATTATTATTTTCTTTTTCCCCTATTTTGTTTTGTGCCCAGATGTAACATTAAGAACGGGAGAGAAGTGCCAAAATCAAGGAGACCAGAAAGACGGTGGCTGAGAAGAGCCAAAGAGTGTAAAGAGAGAGAGAGAGTGAAAGAAATTGACAACATTTTGCATTTTAAATAATATGTATTTTATGCCAGGAAAACCCATAACTGCAATTGATTGATCAAGCGTTATAGTATTATTATTATACGTTTTGTATTTTGCATTTTCCCTGTTTGGCCAATTGCAGTTTTTCCCTATTTTGTTTTGTTTGTTGTTTCTTTTCGCCGCTGGGCGCAAAATTCAATTGATTTTTTCTCTCTCTTTTTCTCTGTGCCGCTTAGTGAGTGTATGTGTGTGTGTGTGTCCGTGTACGATGTTGTGGTTTGATGCACTCGCCTAATTGTTAATAATAAAGAAAAAGGGAAAACTTAATATGTAGGGAAGAAATAAAAGCAATCTTATTTACGCTTATTTGTTTCCCCTTTGAAGCCCTCTTTATCATATCCTTTCGGTTTGCCGGAAAGTTAACCATAACAAAGCATAATTAATAGTGCCTCTCAAACTGTAATAATTGGTCAAAGTGCAGTGAGCACCCGCTACAGGGTGCATTTTACAAATTTAAAATTTAAAAATTATACTATAAATGTAAAGTAAAATATTTGTATTAGTTTAGAATAATATATTCATCTAAATAGAAAAATTGGTTACTTTAAAAAATATTTGTACAAGTTCAATGCACCAAGTTTAAGATCATAAAATTCCAAACTATTTCTCAGAGTTTTAAGCTTTAAGCTTGACTTAATTTGTTGTTTCCTTAAATTTAAACACAAATAATTCAAGCAGAAATAATATATTGTTGATATTTTGTTACAAAAATGTTTAAAAAAAGGTTGTTTTTTAATATATGAATTATTTTTGTATCCTATTGTTCTTCAAATCTTTAGTTTGGACAGTTTTAAGCTTTAAACTTGCCTTAATTTTTGTTTCCTTAAATTAAAACACAAATATTTTAAGTAGATATATTATATTTCTTAATTTTTTGTTACAAAAATGTTTAAAAAAGGTTGCTTTTTAATATATGAATTATTTTTGTATCTTATTGTTCTTCAAATCTTTAGTTTGGACAGTTTTAAGCTTTAAACTTACCTTAATTTTTGTTTCCTTAAATTAAAACACAAATATTTTAAGTAGAAATATTATATTTCTTAATTTTTTGTTACAAAAATGTTTAAAAAAGGTTGCTTTTTAATATATGAATTATTTTTGTATCTTATTGTTCTTCAAAACTTTAGTTTGGACAGTTTTAAGCTTTAAACTTACCTTAATTTTTGTATCTTTAAATAAAAACACAAATATTTTAAGTAGAAATATTATATTTCTTAATTTTTGTTACCAAAAAGTTTTAAAAAAGGTTGTTTTTTAATATATGAATTATTTTTGTATCTATTCTTCTTCAAATCTTTAGTTTGGACAGTTTTAAGCTCCAAACTTGCCTTAATTTTTATTTCCTTAAATTAAAACACAAATATTTCAAGTAGAAATATTATATTTCTTAATTTTTTGTTACAAAAATGTTTAAAAAAATGAATATGAATTATTTATGTATCTTGTTGTTCTTTAAATATTGTAGTTTGGACAGTTTTAAGCTTTAAACTTGCCTTAATTTTTGTTTCCTTAAATTAAAACACAAATATTTTAAGTAGATATATTATATTTCTTAATTTCTTGTAACAAAAATGTTACTTTTTAATTAAAATGTTAGTTTTTGTGTCTCATAGTTCTTTAAACCCTTTAAACTAATAATTATCTCAAAAACTTTATAGTTTTTTAATGGCCATAAACTTTCGCACTTACTTTTTAAGTATTCTTACTTTAACTATAGTTAAAGGTTAAATTTATGCCAATGTATTTTTTATAATTTATAATTACAGCGCAAACTAGGAACCATAATAATCATAATAATCATAAAAAAGGCATACACACACATTACACACACACCTAAAAAGACTGCAATATCTGCCTTAAAAAACCGAGGGAACGAAGGAGCCCATCATCAGTATAGAGATTGATTCCATCACGATCCGGATCCGTGGATTATCTAAAGGAGCAGCGAGTAGATTTAAGGCATCCTGGAAAGCTGGAAAGCTATCACAATGAGTTCGTTCATCGAGCTGCTGGGATTATTCCTGGTGCTGATGCTGCCATTTCTCTACGAAACGAATCATATATTTCGTTATTATTTCAAATTTTTAATGTACTATGGGATTGTTTCGTTCAACTCGATTGTCCTTATACCGGCCTTCCTGACGCGTCCCTGCGATGTCCGCAATTTGCTGTAAGTTGAAATGAAATTCGAAATATTTTTAATTAAGTTAAGGAATTAAATTTGATTATTTATAGTTAGTTTTATAGGAGATATTTTTCAAGAGAATATGCATTTTTTTTTTAGCAATTAAGATATGAGTTCTAATTAGGGAACGAGTATAAATATTTGAATATTTATGGTAAAAATTTATATATAAATTAATATTTAGTGATAAATGTACTATAAATCTATATTTTGTTTGATATATTAGACCATTATAGTAGAAAACATTAAAATTAAATAATGTTAACAGATAATTTTTGATAATATAAATATTTTAATATAAGGTTCCCTTTTTCGATATTTTTTATATGAAATTAATTTTTGTTGATACTAAAAATAGCCTAATTTTCGATGCGTGCATTTAATTTTTCGATATTTTAGAAATAATAAAGGGCACTATACTCTTATCTTCCCGATAGATCTAGATAAAATAAATTGTTCATATATTTCTCTAAAATATCCAAAATTTTCACATATAAAATAAGATTTTTTCAATATTTAAATGCCAAATGAGTTTATTTAATATATTAAATTTTTATTTATGAAAGTTAGCTTTATTATCAATGCCTTTATTATATTCTTCAATATTTTAAATATTATATAGACAGCGTTATTTTGATCAATATATCTATATATAGTCCTAGTTCAAGTAGTCTATCTTTTGAAGGTTTTTAAGGGTCTTTATTATATAGGTCATTAAATAATAACATTAAAATCTGGCATGTGCCTTAATTAAGTGTTTACTATAGCCTTGTAAACCCTTTTATCTTGTTAAGTTCACTTGAAAGTACTATAAAGTCATTGAGAATATTTTATTGTATTGACTTTATTGTTCCCATTTGCGAAATGACTTAATTTTAAGTGGCAAAAGCACATTGTTTACCACCTGGGTGGATAGTTAGAAAGGTAGACAGGTAGTAGTTAGGTGGGGTTTTTGCAATAAAACTATTGTTGTAGGAGACCAATCGTAATGACCATTCCGTATGCAAATCAATCCACTTAATGCCAAGCATTTTTCTAAATCACCAAATGCCACGCCCACAGAAATTGCAGCTAGGATAGAGAAAGGACTCAGGTGGGACTCTTAATAATCATAAGGATACCTTAATTGATAGAAATTTCTGCTCAAAGAGTTGTTATAATTTCCAATGACTGGGCACCTTTTACCTTTTGTTTTCTGTTGTTGTTGTTTCTTGTTGGATTTATTATGCGCCCTCCCAAGGTGGCTATATCAATGACACATTCAATTTTAATTGACCATCAATATTAACGAGGCCTCAACTGCGAAGGAGTGACTGGTCTTGGCCAGGCCCTGGGACTGCAGGTGTCTGGGCAATGCAGTGTCCTGGGCCAAAAACAGATGGTAGTCAAGGCCTAAAAACTCTGACCCAGGTCAGGAATATTTACGAGAAACAATAATATATATATATACAGTATTATATTACATCAGTTTCTATTAAATAAGCAAGAAAAGAAGGCTTCTTTAGTAATAGAAACTTAAAAGGAACATTCTAAATATTTTTAAATATTTTATTTGCTTATTTTTAGTTCAAGAAAGAAGTCTTAAATATGGATTTATTACCAATTAAGCTCTAGTTTATTAAAAACATTTAATTAACCAATTAAATGCCTTTAAGGAAAGCTTTAAAAAAAGATTTTCTTGATTTTCTTACTAAGATCTATAAATTATTAATTTCCCAGGATAAATTTCACTATAATTTCTAAAAAATTCTAATAAAAATAATCTCTTCGTTTCTTAGTAACTAAGATTTTTTCACACATCATAACTATCAAAGATATAGATTTATGATGTGATAGCAAACATTTTTACTATAGATTTCTTATCAATCTGAGCTCAAAATTTAGTGCACCTTCCGGTATTAAAAATTGATAAATAAGTTTGGACCTTTGCATTTAGCGTTTGTTTGGCATGATTATCATGACAAACAATTACTTAATAATACCGATAAGATATATACTATTATATAGTTTGTTTAATGCACAATTACGTGCTGTGGAAAAATAGAATTGAATTAAAGATTAGATTACTCTTGGGAATAAAAATAAATCAGGTTTTATTACAAACTTACCATTGATTTCTTTACATTCTTTATTTATTTATTAGCATGTTTAAATTTAATGAATTTAAAATCTATATTTTTTCCTAAGAAAATATTTAAATATTTTTTAATTTAATAGAATTAAAATCTATATGTTTTTCCAAACAAAATATTTAAATGACTTTCTTTTAAATTTGTTTGATATGTTATTGTTCATGCAAAAAGAACAGTATTGTTTATCGATTTATTATTTATGTTTGGGTACCAAAAATATAAAATGCATTTATTTGTTAACTTTTAAACCTTGTTAAACTTTAAACTCATGCTTAAACTTTAATTTTTATTGATTTAAAATTGTATTTTTTACTTAACAAAATATCTAAAAATTGAACAAACTTTTAACTAGGTTTTTTTTTTTTTAATTTTGTTGCCAAAAAGCATTAATCTTTCTAGATTTTATAAAGATTTTTGCATGGGAAAATATAAGCTCTTCTTTGATATATTTTCTGATTAAACTTTGATTTTTATCGATTTAAAACCGATATTTTTGCTTACCAAAATATCTAAATAATCGATCACTTTTGAACTTTCTTATTGATTTATTATTTTTACCAATAAACATTAATGTTTATATATTTAAAATCAGTTTTGGCAATCCAAAATATAAAACAAACGTATTTTATAACTTTTGTCTAAACTTTGATTTGTATCGTTTTAAAATTGTATTTTTTTGCTTACCAAATTATTTACATCAACGATTACTTTTTACCTTCCTAATTCATTTATTATTTTTACAAGTAAACAATGTTTATATATTTAAAATGAATTTTAGGCAATCAAAAAAATCAAAAACATGGATTAGTTTTACTTTTTGTGGCTTAATTAATAATTATTTTATTATATTATTATATTATTATATTATTATATTATTATATTATTATATTATTATATTATTATATTATTATATTATTATATTATTATATTATTATATTATTATATTATTATATTATTATATTATTATATTATTATATTATTATATTATTATATTATTATATTATATATTATTATATTATTATATTATTTATTATTATATTATTATATTATTATTTATTATATTATTATATTATTATATTATTATATTATTATATTATTATATTATTATATTATTATATTATTATATTATTATATTATTATATTATTATATTATTATATTATTATATTATTATATTATTATATTATTATATTATTATATTATTATATTATTATATTATTATATTATTATATTATTATATTATTATATTATTATATTATTATATTATTATATTATTATATTATTATATTATTATATTATTATATTATTATATTATTATATTATTATATATTATATTATTATATTATTATATTATTATATTATTATATTATTATATTATTATATTATTATATTATTATATTATTATATTATTATATTATTATATTATTATATTATTATATTATTATATTATTATTATTATATTATTATATTATTATATTATTATATTATTATATTATTATATTATTATATTATTATATTATTATATTATTATATTATTATATTATTATATTATTATATTATATTATTATATTATTATATTATTATATTATTATATTATTATATTATTATATTATTATATTATTATATTATTATATTATTATATTATTATATTATTATATTATTATATTATTATATTATTATATTATTATATTATTATATTATTATATTATTATATTATTATATTATTATATTATTATATTATATTATTATATTATTATATTATTATATTATATTATTATATTATTATATTATTATATTATTATATTATTATATTATTATATTATTATATTATTATATTATTATATTATTATATTATTATATTATTATATTATTATATTATTATATTATTATATTATTATATTATTATATTATTATATTATTATATTATTATATTATTATATTATTATATTATTATATTATTATATTATTATATTATTATATTATTATATTATTATATTATTATATTATTATATTATTATATTATTATATTATTATATTATTATATTATTATATTATTATATTATTATTATTTTTATTATTATAATTATTAATTTTTTTCGTGCATCAAACCTCTTCTAAGTGTAATCCCAAGTCGTCTTTACTTTATCGACATGTGATTTTTGTTTATATGAATTTTTTCGTTGTTTTGTCTTTTAACTGCCGGCCACCATTGCATGGGTGTCAAGCCAAGGACGAGTGTTGGGTGATGGATGGGTGGTGGGTGGGGTGAGTCTCGGATTCGACACACGTGTGACCGCCGACCGCCGACCGCCTACCGCCTACCGCTGAGGGGGAAACCCCCAGAGGCCACAGGGAGAGCTCCCTTCATTGCACGCCAACCAAGCGACTTGTGTGTCCCCATTTGTGGTTCTGCTTTTATTTATTTATTATTATTGTTTTTTTTTGTTGTATTTTTTTTTGTTTCGGTTTCTTTTTTTCTTGCGGTCTGCGGTTAGTGCACTTGCTAGAATTTCCCGCTTGACAGACCGCGACTCAAATCACAATCATGAATATTTGATCTCGAGGGTGGATTACTGGTTGGGTTTTTTTTTTAAATCCGAAACAGAATCAATTAGAACTATATTTAATGCAATTTATCGATCCAGTTTGTTCGTTGGACAATTAAGATAGGTTCTCTAGGTGTCCCTAGGGGTATCATTAATGCCTTAGCTATATAATTATCTGTTCTATCCGAGCAATGCCCTGGTGGCTGTCAACCTGATTGGTTAATACAATTTAATGGTGAATTTACTACGATTTACTAAGAATCATTAATTAAATCCTTAGATACTTGCCCTCAATAAACTCCTCAAAATAAATATAAAAAGGTAAGCAACTAAACCTTTTTCTTTTGAAGAAATCCTTAAGGATTTCATTAATGATTAGGCAGGGTAACAAAAAAAAAGGTGTGAAAACAATTGACAGATGTTTATAGTAGTATTATTTACAAGTTAATGAATATTCGAATTTAGCTTAATGTTTATTTATATATTAAATATATAATCTTGATTTTCTTATGATTTTTTAGCTGGGCCAGCACTTGGTGTCATCGCATTTCAACGCTTATTGGTCTACGCTGGGAGCTGCGTGGCAAAGAACATTTGGCCAAGGATCAGGCCTGCATCATAGTGGCCAATCATCAGAGCTCCCTAGATGTGCTGGGTAAGAAAAAAATATATATAAGAAGATGTAGAAGATAAAATTTAAAGATGTAATGAAAAAAACCTATACAATTTGTTGTAACAAGCTCAAAAGAGCAACTTTGATCAACTTTTGCTGCCTTTTTGAGGCTGAATTTCCATGGAATTCTTTCTAGAAACTATAATCATTTCCCTAAACTTAAATAAATAACAACTTTCCATTTTTATTTCCCTCCCTTAGGCATGTTCGACATCTGGCATGTGATGAACAAGTGCACGGTGGTGGCCAAACGTGAACTCTTTTATGCCTGGCCCTTTGGTCTTGCCGCCTGGCTGGCGGGTTTAATTTTCATCGATCGGGTGCGTGGTGAAAAGGCTCGGGAAACCCTCAACGATGTGAATCGTAGGATCAAACAGCAACGCATCAAATTGTGGGTTTTCCCTGAGGGTACACGTCGCAATACCGGCGAATTGCATCCATTCAAAAAGGGTGCCTTTCACATGGCCATCGATCAACAGATACCGATTTTACCGGTTGTCTTCAGCTCTTATGGGACATTCCTCAATGACAAGAAGAAAATATTGAATGCAGGACGCATTGTGATCACCACACTGCCGCCGGTTAGCACGGAGGGACTCACCAAGGATGACATCGATGTTCTAATGGATCGTGTTAGGACACAAATGAGTGATACCTTCAGGTTGACCTCGGCGGAGGCATTGCAACGTTACAAGCCAATGATGAAGGGAAGCACCAACAGCAGTAGTAGTAATAGTAATAGCAATAATAGTAATAGTATGGCAGCAACAACGATTCCACCAGTGGCAGATGTTGCAGTGGCCGCTGTGGCAAGCAGGAGCAGTGCCGGGAGCAGCAGCACCAGTTCTCCATATGGACAGGCAACGGGTTATGGCAAGGCCAGCATGCTCAAGACGTTGTAGGGCTTCACACACTCCCAAAATCACTCAACTCAACACACACACATCCAAAGAACACACCATTGCAATGTTGTTAGTTTACAATTTTAAAAAAGAAGAAGAAAAAACGGAGAAAACTAAATTATTTTATAAGATTGTATTTTTTTTTGTATTGTATTGTACTCTTAACCAAGGGTATTTATTATTTATATATTTATTTATTTAAAGCCAAATATAAATTGTAGTAATTTTTAAAACACGGAATTTACAAATACGAATTTCTAATACCAAGGCATTCCTCCAATAATTAAAAATACTATTTTAATTTATTTAGTTTGGCATAAATGTCTTAGTTAACTTTAAATTTGTATTGGTTTGTGAAGGTCTATCTATTTATATGTCCTGTAAATTCTACATTTTGGCTGTAGCAATGATACTCGTTCCGAGGAAATCCTTTTGAATTTAATCCTCTCACTTAACACACACACTCATACACACAGTTTGGCTAATTCAAGGCACCAATTGAGTATTAGGAAAAGCGACTGTCAGACTTTTTATCTTCTTCTTAGGCAAAAGACACATACCAAACAAAAAATAATAAAACAAAAAACATTAAAATGTAAACCCACACTGGCCGACAGGACTTTAAGAACTTTTCCTGTTTTCGCCTCTATATATATATACATACATATAAATATAAAAATAAAAAATAATTATACTTATATTAAATATAAACACGGTCGATAACGAAATATCCAAGTTAACCGGTTTGAGATATTTACAAGCAAAAAGCAAAAACATACACGTATTTTATTTACTAGACACATTCCCTGACTTTAGGTTAGGGCCTCATCGAAGATTTAACTGAAACGATAAGAAGATGATATCTTTAAAACTAATAACACGCCCCCATAAACTATATTCATGTATTGTAATCCCCCCAAGTATTTTTCTGTGAATTGTATAACTTAACTTTTGTAAATACGAAAATGCCGAGGCATAAGTGAGCAAGATATGCGGTTTACTTTAAAGACAAATCAAAAAAGCGTTAAGCAAAGAAAACAAAATAAAAACGGAAACAATTTAATGCAAATATAATAATAAAATATTTTTTTTTCAAATAAAATATATGATTTTGTTTTATTCTCTTGTCTGAAATGTGAATTTAACAAGTAGTGTCAATAAATACACTAATTTGTGACCTTGCTCAAGGTACATAAAGCACTTAATATTTATTTTAGGTAATTAATAGAGCTCCCCGATAAGGTGGGGAACTCTTTAAGATTAATAACTTCCTGTTTAAATCTAGTAAAGATCGCGGCAAAACTTAAAAAGCCTGGAAACATTGCACATGGGCCAGTGACGAAGAGAATCTTATCGTTTTTGATATTGCATCGAGATAATGTATTTTTAGGATCCAGATAGGAGATATGAGAGAATGGGGGGCATTGTCCATTGAACCATTGGGGGTAACATTGATCGGGTTTATTGATCACCTGATAATTGTTACTTCATTTTTATAGACTCTCTTGGAACGTTTATGGGGTGTTTTTCTCCTTGAACTTTAATTTATTTTATTGTTAAATAAAAAGAGTTGGTAAATATCAGTATAAAAAAACAAAGAAAGCCGAAGTTTGTATACCCTAGCAAATTCCTATATGAAATTAGGCATATCTCAGCCAAAAATGCATTGATTTTACTTCGGAAAGCATTTTTGTCTTAGTTTTTATTAGATTTATAAATCTGCATACTCAGTTTAAAATTAAAAAATTAAAAATTTTTTTTTGTCAAATTTCCACAATTTACCCCTTATAAAATTATGAAAAATTGAACATTTTTGTTTTCGTTTAAATATAGCTAAAAAGATTCGCCTGTTGATTCTGATCACTAATATATATGATTTATAGGGTCGGAAATGCCTCCTTCACTTACTTTTAAGCTTCTGACTAAAATTATATTATCATTTTTTAATTATTATTAACTATATTTTTATATGCATTTTTTTTTCGAAAAATCAAAGTTTAAAAATCTCATAACTCTGCTAAAAATCTATTAATTTGAATTCGGAAAGCTCTCCCATGTTAGTTTTTATTAGATTTATAAATCTGCATACTCAGTTTAAAATTAAAAAATTTTAAATTTTTTTTTGTCAAATTTCCACAATTTACCCCTTATAAAATTATGAAAAATTGAAAATTTTTGTTTTCGTTTAAATATAGCTAAAAAAATTCGCCTGTTGATTCTGATCATTAATATATATGATTTATAGGGTCGGAAATGCCTCCTTCACTTACTTTTAAGCTTCTGACTAAACTTATATTATCATTTTTTAATTGTTATTAACTATATTTTTATAGGCAATTTTCTTCGAAAAATCAAAGTTTAAAAATCTCATAACTCTGCTAAAAATCTATTAATTTTAATTCGGAAAGCTCTCCCATGTTAGGTTTTATTAGATTTATAAATCTGCATACTCAGTTTAAAATTAGAAAATTATACATTTTTATTTGTTAAATTCCGACAATTTACCCCTTATCAAATTTTGGAAAATTTAAAAATTGTTGTTTCCTTTCAAATATAGTTTAAAAGATTCGCCTGTCCATGCTGATAAATAATATATATGATTTACATAGGTAAGTCCTGGAAAGAGGGAATTTTTTAATAATTTTTAATATAAAATTAAACTAAACAATATAAAAAAGACAACAATATTTTTTAAGCTATTGTGAAAATATTTGTATATTTCTGTTAAAATTTTTCTGGTATTTAGAATTATTATTATTATTATTAATATTATTATTATAAAGTATATGCATATTACATGATTTTAGATTTGCGTCCTCTTTGCTAAATTATTGTTAAACATTTTTCATGTGACATTTTTGTTCATAGTTAATTATTTATAAACTTTTTGTTAAAGATTTTCCATTATACTCTTCTCTTTGCAATTTGCTTTCTTTTTGTTTTTTTTTTTTTTTTGTTTTGATTACATTGAAAAGTTTTCAAGTTTTGTTAATAGCTTTGTTTTATAATTTTTGGATTCACGATTTTGATTTTGTTTTTGTTAGGGTTTTTAGGAAATTGAAAATATGACCTGTTCTATATATTAATGTATATTATAAGTTCAATAATAAAGTAGAATCATTTGCCAAACGGATATAAAGCCCCTTGATTTTCTTAAATAGTTATTGGTATTCTCCATCTCTTTCACATTCATGGGCTTGGAGAAGCTAAAAACAATTTTTTAGTGGGTTTAAAAAAATATTTAAAATATAGAGAAAATGTTAAAAAAATCTAAGAAGAACCAAAATGTATTTATTTTTACATTTCAAATATTTAAAATAAATTTAAGTCCAGGGGCTTTATATCTCTAGGGGCAAAAATAAAGGTTTTGTTTTCTTTATTTTCGAGGATCTTAAGCGCTTAAGCTTTGGAAAAAGTTCTTTGTCTTTCGGTTGTTTTACAACACTGCTATCTAAAACTAAGGTCGATCTGAAAAAAAAATCAAATACTTCTCGTCTATATATATTTATTTTGTAGATATTATATTCATTATATCGAGTGATTCGTTCGTTATTAGTTCGTAGTTAAAGCCAATTTGCATTTTGTTTAGTTTGAGTCTATGTTTAAAAAATTTGTTAAGCGCGCTTCGAATTATCAGTGATCGATAATTATCGATCACTCCTCTCTTTTCGTTTAATTAAAATTTGTCATTTGTCTTATCAGTTACTTGATTTGGATGTTTGTATGTATGTAAATGTATATATAGCTTTCTGTTATGGATCATAATTGGTCAGATGTTGTGGCATATTTGAATTGTACATTCAGTTATTTAGTTTATTTTCCTCCTCTGAGCTTTAACTTCGCATTCACTTTCTCTTTTAGCTGGAATTTGAATAGTTTTCGATATAATTCGATTTGTTTATACTTATCGTCATTTTATTATTTACAGTTGCGTGTTTAATGCAATTTAAAGCAAACATAATTTCACAGCCGTACTCCTCATATTTCTCGGATTTTTTTTTTTATTTTGTCCCGCCTTTATACATATATATATATTATATTATTAGTTTTTTTTATGTGCTATCAAGTGAAAAATGTCGACCAATGATCGATTTGAGTTGTTTTTCTATTTAAGTTTTTCTGGTTGTTGCTGGTCCTGCTCTATATATATATATATATATTTATATATATCTCTAGAATTATTTACTACGATCATTGGGCTTGGATTTGCTATTATATATATATAGAAAGAGAGACGGAGATGGCTTCAGAGTCTTTATTAGTCTTTAGCCTAAAGTTGAAACAAGAGAGTTCTATATAACTAATTTCTTGAAGGTTTGGGGGTTTTTCCTATCACGTCATGTACGTGTCTACAAAGCTTTTCCTTAGCTGATTATGCAATCGATTTTGTTTTTATCGAAAAGTAGAACCTATCGAGCGGCTATAATTATTATTATTACTCTTTTTAGATCGTTAACATGGCTTAGGTTTTACCTTGGGCAAAATGTTCTTATATGAAACATAGGTTTTTCACTTAGTCGCTACTCGCTACTCGTTACTCGTTACATATTTCGCTCTCGATAACATTACCTAGTTTGATATATACTATATAGAATTTGATTCAAATGGATTGAGGTGTTGTGAATGTGCAAATGTGTATTACATTTTTATTTTAGCCTACGATAAAATTAGCACCAATGCAAGAGATAATAATGATTCATGTTCTTTAGAATAGTTTGCTTTTACTTCATTTTTTTTTTAGTTTGGAAAAAATGTTTTGCCAAGATATGTGTAATTTACTGCAGTGTATTTTCCCCCTCATTTTTTCTAGGTTTCCTTTTATTTTTATATTTTTTTTTGGCTTGGTGAAAACAAAATATAAGTTCCACTACGAGCAGCATGAAAAATAAATTTAAAAAAAAAAACCTTTCTTCATTCCATTTAGTTAAACACTAATCAACAATTTGTTTGATCCAACAGAGCTAAACGCTCTCGTGTACAATATTCTTACATCGGTATTTCCTTCTCATGTATATTATATATATTTTTGTATATATATATATCTTCTTTATATATATATATATATATATTCATCTTGTTACTATAGAGTCTTAGGAGCTAGAGACTGTCTTATACGTTCGCTTGATGAGTTTATTCTGGTTTTCTTTGTGTATATGCCATATATCAGCTATATATCTATGTATATATATATATGTATATATCCAACGATTCTGGATCACACACACACACACATTGGGGTACTGTCCGGGATTTGTGGTGAATGAAATTATTATTGTACCTATATAAGTCTGGGGATATTACGTGAAAACCTATACCACTGGTGTAATCATAATCTCACTGAGGGAGATATATAGATAGATAGAGAGAGAGAGAGCAACAACGAGTAACAAAATTATAGGGTACGACGACCTCCATCCAGCTCTGGCTATTTCACTTCAAGTTATAAATTCAGGAAACTGTTGCCCAGAAAGCCCAGCATTATGGTGGACATGGCTATCGGAGCAAGGCGTACATTCGAGGCGGTACTATTTCCGGCCAGGATTTCGGCACGTTTTCGCATTCGTTCCTGGATAGGATTACAAATTATAATAGAATAATTTTAGAAATTCTAAGGTGATATTTTTGGGATCCTCACCTGATAGAGCTTGTCCTCGCCGGGCGGATCCAGACACTCGAACTCGCAGCAACGTTCGCCAACTCGAAAGTTTTTGCAAAACTAAATGGGTATTATAAAATATATTATATTAAAATAATAATAGTACTGGTCATAGGTAGAGGAAAAATTTCTGATTAGTAATTTAGGTCTAAAATGAGTTGACAATTAATACTGGAAATGAATATAATAATAATATTTGTTATATAACTGAGCAGTAAGTGACTCTGAAGAGTAAGTAACTATGATCAGTAAGCATCTATGATCAATAATTAACTATGATCAGTAATTAACTTTAAACAGTAAGTATCTATGATCAGTTATTAACTATGAGCAGTAAATAACTCTGAAGAGTATCTATGATCAGTAATTAACTATGATTAGTAATTAACCATGGGCACTAAGTAAGTAGGTTCAGTAATAAGCTTTGACCAGTAAGTATCTATGACCAGTAATTAACTCTGAACAGTAAGTATCTATAATCAGTAATTAACTATGATCAGCAAGTATCAATGAACATTAAGTAACTATGATCAGTAACTATCTATGACCAGTATGTATGTTTGTATGTATGATCAGTTACAAACTTTGAACACTAATAAACAATGACTTGCAACTTTTGTAACACAACACATATCTGAGACGTGGCCGGCAGCAGTCACTTCGTTCCGGGGAGGTTAGAACAAGTTGGGAATCATATGCACAGATGTGCGAGATGTGTTTTGGAACAAATTTAAGCTTTTTGAATGAAACTATAGAGTTATTCTTCTATAAAATTTTACTACTATATAAATCGGAGCATGGCAAATCGGTGGACCATATATATATATATATATATATATATAGCTGCCATAGGAACAATTGGAAAATTTAAAAGACAAAATAACTTATCCAGTTTTCAACATATTTTCATTAAATTTGATATATAGCCACTATATATTAATCTAGAATTTTGTGTAAAATTATATGAAAACCGGACTACTATATCATATCGTTAAAAATAGAGGAACATGAATAGGTGAATGAAATGAAAGCAGGCATTATTTTAATGTTTTTTAACATAAATACATATAATTTATATTGTATTAATTTTCTAGTGATTGAATTGCAATCTGCAAGGGTTAGTTAGCAAGTTAGCTTCCTTTCTCGTATAGGTATAGATATTTTTTTTGTAGAAAGTGTTAGGATATAGGATCACTCACGTAGGGCGGATCACAGTAGATGGCCTTGCACCAGAGTGGCTCGGAGTGATAGCAAACGCACAGGCTGCATACACCGGGCCCGGGCACATACAGCATGCCATGGTTCACCTTATTGCCCTGGAAATCAACGCAGTCCTCCTCCAAAGCAGCTGAAAAAAAAAGAAAAAAAAAATTGTATATTATTAATAAATATATATATAATACTATAAATATATAGACAGTGTAATTTAGTGATTTTGCTCTACTTTAATCCGGCTAATCCGCCGTGTGATCCCCAGGGTTCAGTGACTATCAATTTGATTCACCCGATGGGTCACATTTGAAAAGCCAAGATAGTGAATATTTTGCGACTTGAGGCGGTTCTAACTCGCTAATCGATCGGTTATATCACTCAAGGCGATTTTATTATTAATATTATTTTCAATATTTAATGAATGAATGAGAGCTGAATGGAAATATGTTAACATACGAGTCTTAAATAAATAATAAACTAAATACATGTCAAGTGCTAGAATGTTGTACATTCCCAAGGAGGGGAGAGTCCCTGACAAGGGGGTATTCACGTGTAAGGACAGACAGGACCTCATGATGGATGGGGTCACCAGGAGCGAAGGTTTCGGTCTCCGGTTCGGTTCTTTTCGGCTTTTCCGCCGGAGACGCAGACACTCAAAAAGCACAATTGTGTTCCGAGTGACGTACACTCGGCATAAGCTTCGAACTCGAACTTGTATTCAAACACAGACTCAAATTCGAACTCAAACTCGAACCTAGCTAGGATACGGAACATGGAACATGGACAGGACAAAAGGACGACAGGACGACAGGACGCGGCCACGAACTACGGATGCGGTCTGGGGCGAGCTTTAATGGGTCGCGTGCTACACGCAGCAAAAAGACGTGTGACCTCGAAGGGAACTAATCACCTGGCATGGGTTTTTTTTTGGGAATGAGAGAACACTTGGGAATTGTAGAGGAGAAAATATCTAGTAAGCTACACTTAAGCTTATTAAATAAGAAAAATAATATAAAGTAACAAAAGGTTTTATATATTTAATATTTGAGTAAACAATATTATTATAGGTGTTATTAAACAATATTTGAGTAAACAATACTATTATAGGTGGTGTTATTAAACAATAGGTAATAATAAATAATAATTAATATGCTTTCCCATTAATTTGTTTCCGATGTTTTTTTTTATTTATTAATTAAGATTTCGATCTTAAGTCCAGAACTATTTGACTTGTTGGCCTTCTTATAACTCAAAGAAAACTTTAAATATTTATATTCTAGGTTTCTTAAACCCAATATGGGTAAAATGATAATTTTTGGGTAAATTCAACATATTTAAAATATCATAATTAAGCCAAAAATGCGTTAAATTTAATTCGAAAACAAGTTATGTGCTAGTTAAGGTTCATAAATCTGCATACTCAATTAATTTTTTTCTTGTAATCAAAATTTTTGTCAATTTTATGACGACGTAACCTCTTATAAAATTTGGACAAATTTTTAAAAATTTGTTTTTTTTACCAGAAATGCCTAGATCGATTCTCCTGTCGATGCTGATTAAGAATATATAAGATTTATAGGGTCGGAAATGACTCCTTCACTAGATTTTAAGTTTCAAACCGAAATTCTAGAATAATTACGTATACGTAATGCGTATACGTAATTTTTCGGACTTTGAATGCCAGAAATAAAATGTTAACGAAAAACGAAGCTAACTTTGGCACACCAAAAATTATATGTTCTTGTAGTTTACAAAAGAATTATTGGATCAAATTAAAAATCGATCAAACCTTAACTTAAAATATTCTAATTTTTGTAATCAACATTTTATCCATATTTTTTATGGCAATTTTGCCGACAAATCAAACATTCAAAAACTCATAACTCAGCCAAAAAAGCATTAATTTTAATTCGGAAAGAAGTTCTGTGCTAGTTTTTATTAGGTTAACAAATCTGCATACTCAATAAATTTTTTTTAAAAATTCAAAATTTTGTCAACATTTTGGCGATGTAACCCCTTATAAAATTTAAAAAATTTCAAAAATTATTTTTCTTCCGGAGATCGCTGAATAGATTCTCCTGTTGATGCTGATCAAGAATATATATGATTTATAGGGTCGGAAATGACTCCTTCACTTATTTTCGAGCTTCTGACTAAAATTGTAATACTCGGGAAAGGGTATAAAAACTCTGACATAAATTTTAAGAAAGTAAATACTAGAAAGAAAAACTTGGCAACACCCATATGAATTGGAGTCACCTTTCTAATTTACCAAACAACCTCTTATTATAATAATTAAAAATGTATAAATTCTTTAAAGAATAAACAATCATTTGGAAATGATGGAGAAAGCGTAAAACCAAAATTCTGACTTTAAATTATATAAAAAATAAAAATATTATTATCAAAGTCATAATAAAAACTAGTGTCACTTCCCGAAAAACAACTTGGCAATTATAAATGTATGTTTATTTTTTAAAAGCTCCTAGAGTATCCTATTTTTCCATATTTTATTTTGAAGTGCAGTCCTGTGACGACTAGTGGCGCTGTCAAGTTTTTCATTCTTCCGCTTGTTTTCCACCTACTTTGTTCATTTTCTTTTTTCGCCCCGCTTTCACTCTCGCAAAAGCAACTGGGAAATCGTGTAGGATTTCTTTCTTTTTTTTTTGCTGTTTTTTACTTTTTGTAATTTTTGGTCGGATGCTGCAGTTGTTTGTTCACATTGTTTGTTTGCCTTGCAACGTGTTCTTTTTACACACACACAGAGAGAGAGAGAGTGAAGCAAGTGCACGTGCTTTTCCTCCTTTTATCTGGTGCCGGGTTTTTCCTCCCAATTTCCCCTACCAATATTTTTTTCTCGTTCGTTCCTTTTCTGCAGTGGCAGGTTCTTCTTCTTAAGATCGCTGAATAATTAAAAGCCAGCGTTCAACTTTCGTGCGCCATCTGTCGTCCAAACAATTTAGCTGTGTCCTGGGTCAAAGTTTAGCAGGCCACCGCCCACTTTGCACCGCCCATCGTACGCCATTCATGTTAACCTTCGCCCTTCTCGGTGAGTAATGCACACTGGGGGAAAAACCTATACACATACATATAACAAAACAAAAAAGTATGACCACAAAAATGCAATACCCTCGAGGTTAAACACAATTGTATATGAAGAAAGAGTTTGTGGAAAGAAACTTGAAACCATTTTGGTAATTATGGGTTGAGTAGGAACTTATTTATTGAAAGGAAAAACCAAGATATGATATATTAAAATGAAGATCAAGTTATTATACTAGAAATATCATAAATTTAAAAGTATAATAATTTAAAAATATCTAAAAATAATTTATTTCTTGTCATTATTATATCAGAAACATCATAAATTTAAATGTATAATAATTTTAAAATATCTAAAAATAATGTATTTCTTGTTAATAACGACTCTATCATTTAGCTGCCATAGGAACGATTGGAAAATGTTTAGAAAACTAGTTATAACTTTTCCAATTTTCAACATAATTTCATCTTATTTGAGATGGAGCTATTTTGTATAATATTATAGTTTTAGTTTTAATTAAATTAAAATCGGATTTCTATATCATATAGTTGCCATAGAAGGGATTCCTAAATTTAGAGGAAAATGCAAAACTGGTAGTTTAAAACTGCAAATGTAACTCTCTATAACTCTCTCCCTTCATCTCACTCTCTCTACATTTCACTCCCTCTCTCTCTCTCCCTCTCTCTCTCCCTCTCTCTCTCCCTCTCTCTCTCTCTCTAATTTATTTGGTATGCCCCTCACTCTCTGTGCATCTCTAGAGATCATTCCTTCTCTCTATTTCGCTCTGCTTGCCTCTGGAGGTACCGCTTACTCTCTCGCTCTCACTTTCTCTGCTCCTCTCTTCACTCGGGGAGTATAAATAGAGGCGCTATCGGGCCGCGCGCCTCAGTCTGTCCTAGGGGTACCTAGTGTTAACATCTATCTAGTGAAAGTGATTAGTGATCCAAAAGTATGACGTGGCCAATGTATTGCATCTGAATAACCGGAATGGAAAAGAATAACCACGTGTCCTCAACTGCGGTAAGTCTTAAACATGATAATTATATATTATATAGATCTTATAGAAGGGATCAGTCCTGATTTGGAATTAGCTGTGCTATGTTTACATTTATTTTCCAATTAATAATTCCCTTATTAATATTATTTATATTCATTATTTAATTTTATATAGTTAATATATTTTATTACTATACATATTTGTTATTATATTATAACTAAGCCAAAAATGGTTTAATTTCAATTTGGAAAACAGTTTTGAGCTAGTTTTTATTAGGTTAAAAGATGTGCATATTGCTTTTAATTTTGAAAAATATTGAATTTTTTGACACTTTTTAAAAATGTTAACGATGTTTCCCCCTTAAAAAATTTGGAAAAATTTTAATTTCCTTCAAACATGGATTGAAATTGATGTATTGACTTTTGGAAAATGTTAACATTGTTACGCCTTAAAAAATTTGGAAAAACTTGGAAAAATTTTAATTTCCTTCAAACATGGCTAGATCGATTCGGATATTGATGTTGATCAAGAATATATATGATTTACAGCACCGGAAATGATTCATACACTTAGTTTCACGACTCAGACTAAAATTATAATATGCGGAAAAGGGTAACAAAATTATATAAAATTATTTAATAATCCTATAGTTCAAGCAAATGAGTTTTTTCTTCAAGTGTATATACTGGCTAAAAACTGCATTTAATGGCAGAAATGCGCCTGCTAAAGCCAGCGGCCGCATTATTTTACAATTATGTTTATTACTTTTTAATGCCCGCCCTGCCATGCCTGCTGAGTTTTTCTCATTTCCACCTGACCCGGTGCAGATTTTCCGGGGGCTTGGTTATATCCCAGGGTGCTGGCCAGGGTCGCGGCTTACTTATAAATAGCTTTTGTTGTTGACATTCCTCTCTTCCTTCCTTCACAGAGAAGGCATCCAGCTCGAGTGGAAAGAATTCAACCGAAATGCGTCCTTTGTTCTATTCTCGCGGAAAGAAAAATCAATTTTTTTTTTTTTTTGGGAAAATTTGCACTCACTTTTCCGTGTCAGAAAATTTAATTTTACATCATAAGAGATTTTTAAGAGAAGACTACT